GACAATGTCACGGGTGTAGATCTGCCATTCTTCTTGCTCGGACATGAAGCTATTAATCTTGTCGCTTTCTGTTTATCAGATTATCAATTTATGCATTAAACGGTCATGGGGTCCAAGAGTGTCTGTCGCTGGAACATTTCCAGATACCAGGTTCTTTGTTCTGTTGTTTATTAGATAGTTTATTTATGCTGAAGCCAGTCACGAGACAACACTGACGTTCTGTTGCTTAAATGAGTCCAGATGCAGGGGTCAGTTATTGCTGTCTTAGTGCTTGCCGACCCAGGAGGTGGTTTTGTAAATCACTCTCTCCTTGTGTTTCTTGTAAAGATAAGCTGAGCGGGACAGGAACTTATTTGAGACAATTGGCGCCTGGGCTGACCATGGTTCAGTTTTACGACTCTCACATGGTTGGGAGGAGACCTTAGTTTTTCCGGTGGAATGCGGAGATTCCATCGTTCATTTGTGTCTGTTCACAGAGGCCCTACAGGAGGATCTGGTGGGGCATCAGAGTTTTGACTCGGGAAGCAGTTATCTTCAACTCTGCCTCTCATGGCAGATTTTTCATGTCTGCATTGTGTTTCTCAGCCTTTCTCCATACTAACCCCTCCCAGAAGTGTCAGATTCCTCTTACAAGGGGTGCCAATCAGCCCATTCCTTTTCTTCTCTTCACAGCCATGATGTCTGTTTCTTCATGTTGTATCGCCCATTGGCAGCTGTCCCAGAAGTCTTCTGGTTTCTTCTATAGAATGAACACTCAAGAGAGCCGCATTGTAAATTTTGACCACAACTGCATATAAGCAATCTGTGCTATGGTCAGTCATTTTGTGCAACTGTAGAAAATTGAAGGAATCTCATCCAGTTAACAATATATAGCAGTTCCTTATTTTATTTTAATAAAGCAAGTTCTTCTTTGCGGGTAAAGAGCAAGAAATTCCTTCGTTGCAGAATGCAGAAAAGAGCAGTAACCTATTCTGACTGATCTGAGCATATCATGCTTCTATAAGCCTTATCAATACATCAGCATGATGCATTGTATTATAACTTCAGACTGAAATCTTGTAAATAGTCTACCAAATGTGACAACCAAAGTCAAGAAAAATTAATTTTCTTCTTTTCTCTTTTTATTATTAGATGAAACCGGCCATTTAAAGTAGTCACTCAATCTTGTTCTCATTCATCGCTCTACACAAGTTATTTTAGTTAACACAAACTAATGTCTCAATCTCTGCAAACTACCACATTTCAAGCTGTCCCCCAGGGATAACGGACACAAACTCCATACATCTATAGATAACAAGATGTAATACAAGCTTGTAGGGATTTCTAGTACATGAACGGACACTGCTATGCTCCTATCAGCCATCAGGAGGTTTGCTAATCATCCCAGCACATGACTCCAATATTCTGGGTCGACTTCCTGCCAGTCGTGTCGTCATCTACTCAGAGGAGTGATTAAAGATTGATCCAATCAAGAGACAACAAAGCTTTCTTTGTATCAAGGACTGAAAAGGTTCGTTCACAACATATAGAAACCACGATGTCTTGTGACCACCAATGAATAGAACTAGTATATCCAGCAGGAAAAGGATGAGTAAATTAACTAGTGCCCTCAGGCCCGCAACACGCCACTCGTGAAAACGAGTGTTAGAAGTTTGAAACTTCATAAGAACTTCGTCAACTCTCATTCTAATAATCTGTTTGTGTGTATGTGTGTTTTAGCGTAGTTTTGATGTATTCTAGAGTAGCCAATAAAATTCATGTTTCATTTATAAAGAATCTTTGGTTTGGTGTCATATAATTTCCAGGTCAAAACTTTTGCCAAGATCAACGTTACCTCTCTAAGAGCTTACAAATGATCAAAGAACGTATTTATCCGTGGCCAGGAGAATACATAGTCAATTTGTTAAAATATACTGAGGTCACGGCTCGCTGGACGACCCTTGATTTAAAGTGTAACATAACAAATTTGAAATCGGTTTAATCAGGTGAACTTCGGGGATTCAGACCCGAGTCCTATCAAAACCTGAATGAATTAATAATAATTAATTCCCTTACAAATTTAAGTAGTCAAGTTATCTACAAGCTATATATTTAAAGACATGTATTTAACCAGCTATTATGTATTGATTTAACAATGTAATTCTCCTGTGGCTCCAAGTATTGCGTTTAACTTTCCGGAGCCAATACATAACTCAAATATTATAAAAATCTTTTTAGCCAAATCATCTAAATACAGTTGTACATCTCTGCTCGTTACAATGTCATCCATCTAATCAACAGTATTGTGTCATAATTGTGGCTTGGTTGGTGATTGACAATGCTTTTAAAAATAGCAGCGCACTTGATCTAACACAGCAGAGACAGAACAAAGCAAGAGTAGATTCGTTTAAAAACTTCACTAAATCCAAGTTGATTTAGTGAAGAATGGCAAATAGCCATTAGTTGAATGTGTACTAAACAATTTGCTGAAACATAATACTCTGCTGTTTCACCCATCCTGTCCAGATCAAGGGACAAATACAATTAGAATAATTGCGATTTTAGCAATTTATTTGTTTTAGTGCCTTGCAAGGACTTCACAATACCAACTCTCAAATCATTTAAAAATCATTCAATCTTGGAAGGACTGAGAATATGTCAATGTGAGAACAGGTAACAAAGATAGCTTTTCACGAAGCGACCATTCGCTTTTTACGAATGAGTAATGAAAAAGGTATCTTTTGCAAAATATCTATTCTCCTTCCCACACATAAATCGTGAGGATAACCTGCAGATGAACAGTCGGTCGCGATCCGATACTGTTCTTCCCGTATATCTTAACTTACACAATACGAGGATAACCCACTCTGCCAAGTATGGTAGAGTCCAAATTCACGGCATGAAAATATTATACATTTCTTAGCAGACAGTAAGAATAATTCATTAAAGATTATTTCTCACCTGTCTGTAGAAATTCCCGGAAAGACCGAGCCCCCATTTGTTAAGAATATCTTAGTTCTTTATCTTTCGATGCCATTCGACTATTCTCAGTCCTTGCATGGGCCCATGGAAAGAATTATGAACATGAAGCTAATTGTCTGAAGAGGGGCCCCACCATTTGAACCCTAAGTATCATATGCGCATGCGTGTATACATTGAGATAAAGAGAGGTAAGACTACCGAGAGTAGAGAGAGAGAGCACAGAAGGAAGGAGGGAAAAGCGCAAGGGGAGAGAACGGGAGGGTAAGAGAGAGAGCACAGACAGGCAAACTCACAAAAATATTCTGGCAGAGAGCGTGATATAATCTAACAGTAATCCACTGCGTCTTCAGTGGCTCAGGTGTCGGGAGTAAATGACGACTATGTTCATTATTACATCCAACAACAAAACATCTCAATTGCTTATTAGTAGACATTCTTGTCTACTCCTGCTCCAGCGTCGAAACAATGGCGGACTGTTTGCAGTTCACTCAGGGTGGGTCTAAGGTAAAAGACCAGTGTCAATCAACAATCATGGGAGGGGCCTGAGTCTGTGTGACATCACACAGCCAATAATCTTAGAATGGCTTGATTTGAGAAAGGGGTTATCATTTATCGGGATTTAAAAAAAAAGCACTGGGTGGATGTTTATCATAATTGGGTGGTTGTGTACACACACTGCCAAGACACATTTCAGTACAAACAACATATAAAAGTGAATTTTGACCCCTTTAACATTTTGCTGTCAACACAGTATAGGAAAAGTGTCGCAAAAATATAACATCTGTTATTTAAAATTATAAGCAAAATATGAACAAATCCGTTGGCTTGTAGCCTTTGCGAAATGAAATCACTTTTTACTTGCCTGACGTGGGTTTCTTAGCAGTAAACTCACTGACCATTTTCCAGTCCAAGTTGAACGTCCTTCAAGGACAGCGCAACCACACTTTATTCTGCTCTGTCACTCATCGACAACCTGCCTGTTTTGTCTGAGGACCGTATATTTACCACTGGTACAGCCTGCACTGAGCACTGTTATGCACATGCTGCATGCTCAGACTCCGCAAATAAAATGCATGACGCAGAAAGCACTGGTCCATGCGTGCAGCATGTGCATAACAGTCCTGAGTGCAGGCTGTACCAGTGGTCAATAAGAACGAGTAAGCGCAGATATGCTGTTCTGAAAGGACGTCAGGAACGGGATATTGTTAGACCACCCGCTCCCATTCAAATTACACCAGAGTTACGACCGCTACCGTGTTTTATTCAGAAATTTAATCCCGCGTCGCAAAAAATCTGGTCGGGTCCCACGGTTCCCACAATGCAGACCTCTACTGTGACTCATGGCGTAGGTTGGAAGCACTTTAATCTTTTCATCTTTAAATTATCATTATATGCAGTTGGAGGTGCATGCTGAATACCTAAACACTCATAGCACTCACTAAACGAGCCCAGCGACATTGTTTTCCACTCTAATAATGCGGAAATCAACACAATGCACGGCCTAGGAAAAAAAGCTTCCTGAAGAAGATAAATCTGAGATTTGATGGCATGGGCAGATCTTTTTGAGGCATGCGGTTTATACAGGCTTAAGTCAAATGTCACATCTGGAAGGCATTTTGCTATAACATCAGCTACTGATGCTGCATTGAGTGAACCTATGAATTTAGTAGTATTATCAATTTGACTAACACTGTTGAATTCTGCAACATTATTTTCATTATTTTCCTTAGTATCACTGTGAAGCTGCCTTGAAACAGAATTTATTGCATCAAACACTATGTAAATAAATGTGACTTGACTTAGCCAGCACAAAATGTGCACACATTCAAGTGAGCTTTATTGTCATTCAGCTATTTGTGGAGACATACAGAGGAATTAAATTTCATGCCTCACAGGACAACGGTGCTACATATCTAAACATATACAGTATGAACAAACATTCAGTTCAAACATTTAAAAAAAAAAAAAACCTTTTGTATATACCTTGACAGAGAAACAAGTTAACATTCAACCATTGTCTTTCTATATACCCTTTCAAGGTACCTATAATTATTCCCATCCTGGTGTTGCTGGCCGCAGTGTTCCTGGTACTGGCACCCATCATTGATGACCCTCAGATTGAGTACCTCTATGTGACCCTCTTCATGCTGAGTAGCATTGTGATTTACATCCCTTTCATTCATTTGAAACTGTTCCCAGGATTGTTAAATAAACTCACAGTCTTCCTTCAACTGTTCCTAGAGGTAGCACCAACTGCCAAAAACCTGTAATGCCGATGGAACAGACCTGTCAAATTCAGTGTATTTGTAATTCAGATGTTATAGGTTCTCACAATTCTAAATATAAGTTTGAATAGAAAACAAAATCACTTGGTTCTATTCTTCAAATCATACATCTGTCTATATGAAAGTCAAAATCTAAATATGAATAATTGCTTTTTTAAGAAACAGATGGTAAGGTAAAAATCTTTGATAGTAACTATTCTTAATTCATCTTTTGGTAACACTTTACAGTAAGAGTCTACATTCTACAGTTCCTGTGAAGAAACTACATTTTTAAATTTTAACTGGTGCTTTGTGGATTCTTGCTAGCATAGCTTCAAGCAAACATCTTCTGACTATAACAGTATTTAGAAGTAATTTTAGATCAGCTTCTACATCTGTAAGAAATATAGTGGTTCATCATTACTTAAGTTGTACTGATTTTTTGTTTTGTTTTTGTTTAATACAACATACATTTTAAATCTGTTAATATTATTTTATGGACCTGAACATTAACTAACATTATCAAAGATGAATAAATACTGTAACAAATATATTGCTCTCTGTTAGTTCATGTTAGTTAATGCATTAGCTAACATTAACAAAGCAGACCTAATTGTATAGTGATATCAAGGTTGTTTTTTGTTTTTTTTGTGTAACAAAGCATAAGCATTTAACCACATGTCCAAATATAAATTGCATAACCCCAATCATAAATATGACTACAAACAGGGAACATTGGGGTCCAGGCACCAACGGATCATGTGGGAAAAATGGCAACAGTATCAGTTATTAAATGTCTCTTTATGGAAGTATCATTCCTTGTATTATATTAAAAGAGACACATAATGTTGTCTCTTAATTTTAATTAAGCAATACATTCAGTCATGTCTTGTAACTTGATAAATATGCTCTCAATATGATTAGGGTATATAAAATTAATTTAAAGATATTGTGGAGATCACAGATTTCACACTAAAACATTTGTTTTTCTAAGTTAATCAATTAACAATTTACACTGATTTTAATCTTTGAAACCTAAAAGATTTCTTATTCTGTGGCTCATTATTATTATTATTATTATTATTATCTATCATCCCCATTGATATAATTGGTTAATACTTTAGAAATTGCTAATAGCCCCCTAAGCATCAGAAATTATAATGGGCCACACCTAACAAATATATTGTAACGTATATGCTAAAATAGATTCTTTTGATAACTTCTTTGTTAGCATGGCAACTTGTTTATCCTCATGTCCTTTCATATCAAATTTGTATAAGGATACTGAATATCAAGTTTATATATTTTGGACATTGATTTTAGGTCAATTTGTAAAAATAATTTAGGTCAGTTTACAAATTAGTTGATGCCTGATCATTTAATTTGCATCTTCACAATGCTTTGTTGTATCAAAATTTGTTTGATATCTTTTTGTCATGACTTCACAAAATAAAAAGTGGCTGTAAGAAAAGAGCTAGAGTATTGAAAATCCCCATTTCCACCATCAGGGCAATAATTAAGAGGTTCCAATCAAATAAAGATGTTACAAATCTGCCTGGAAGAGGAGGTGTGTCTATATTGTCCTAATACACAGTGAGGAGGAGAGTTTGAGGGCCAAATAATCCCCAAAGATCACAGCTGGAGAACTGCAGAGATTAGCTGAGTCTTGGGGTCAGAAAGCCTAATATATATATATATATATATATATATATATATATACTGTATATATATATATA